CGGGCACTTGGCCTGAGGTCGGCTCCGGGCGATGCCACGCCCACTTACGTCAGCAGGCCTGGCCAATCGGGTGTGCCGAAAGGCTGAAGGGCCCGCCCCTCCCTACGCTGAGGTTCGCTCCTGAGCTGCGGAAGTCCCGGGGGAGCCCACTTGGGGGCGCAGGAGCGGCGCGGCAAGGGTGCTGCGTGTGAACCGACCTCGAAGGTGGCCTCAGCGCCCTGAGGTTTTCTTTATTGCCCCTCTTTTCCCAGCCTAGCGCATACTTGGCATTGGTTGTTTATTGAATAATTAGATGTCAAGGACATTAAAACAACACCATAGTGCCTAACACAATAACTAAGTCCATTTTTGCGGACTGAGCATTTTAAAGTTGTTGAGTTCAGCACCAGGCTGCCCTCCAAGTTTTCAGAGAAAATTTATTCCAGCGTTAATTTCTCAGGGCTTAGTTACTCTGTACCATAGTTTGGGAGATGTGATGTGAAAGACATGGGCACTTTGGAAAGGCTCCAAGTCTGATAGGGGCATCAGACCTGTCTATCTATTATGGGTACAATGAGAGATTTGACCAAAAGTCTGGCGGGGGAAAGATGGGGCAGGAGGGATCTGGTGAGGCTTATGGATGGGGCTTGGGTGAACTGGTAGCATCAGATGAGTGAAATAGGGGTCAGGATCAATACCCTAGCAAATTGATTCCTTTTTTTCCCCCCTAAATATTTACTTATTTATTTATTTGGCTGTGCCGGGTCTTAGTTGCTGCACACGGGATCTTTAGTTGCGGCATGCGGGATCTTTAGTTGTGGCATGCGGGATCTAGTTCCCTGACCAGGGATTGAACCCATGACCAGGGATCGAACCTGGGCCCCCTGCATTGGGAGTGTGAGTCTTAACCGCTGGACCACCAGGGAAGTCCCAGGAAATCCTCTGTGAAAGTGAGAGGGGGATTACTGAAACGTCGACTTTGAACTGTGAAGAATGTCAGAGGGTTGTATTACACTTATTCTCAGATTTTATTTCTCAAAATCTGTACCCCAAACCTGTTTTATACCTCTTTATATTCCAAGTCTAAGAGGCAGAGAGGCTTAATGCTGGGAAAATATGACACTGCTTAATTCCCAGCTGCTAGAGTTCTGATCTGTGTTCCAATAAGGAAGGTGGTGGAAAGAAAGTAATGCTTTTTTGTGCATTAAAGAGTTAGGGACAGTACCATATATTTTACATTCACTTATCTAATTTTGATGACAACTATGTTATTCTCATTTTATAGATTGGGAAAACAATAGCCAGGAGATTAATTTGCCCCATGCCACACTGGGATTTCTCTTCATTGCCTGCGAACCATATTCCTTCAACTCACAGAGGTAATTACTATTTATTTTTTCCCCCAGTTTAGATCCCCTGCCCAGCAGGTCTTTCATAACACCTCTCCCGGACTTCCCTGGTGGTCCAGTAGTTAAGACTCCATGCTTCCAACGCAGAGGACATGGGTTCAATCCCTGGGCGGGGAAGTTCCGCATGCTTCATGGCATGGCCAAAAACAATAACAACAACAACAAAATACCTCTCCTATCTCTGAGTTTATTGATAACTAAAAATAATTAGTACCACTGGATACCTCCAAGATCCCAAACAGGGTGGAAAATTTAAGAATGCTGCTGTTTGGTGTAATCTGTTTTTCCCATGTCACTCTTATTCTTGACTGAGAGACCTGTTCCCACTTCTCGCACCCCCCACCCTTTAAAATATAATTTTACCTTAATCTGTCACTCTTATCCATAAAAAGTATTGTGAATGCAACGACATGACTCTTAAATGTAACGCTGAGCCAAAGGAGTCAGACACAAAAGAACATATTGTATGATTTCGTTTATATGAAGTGCAAACCCAGGCAAAATTAACCTGTGCTGGAAGTCAGGATAGCGACTACTACTGGGGAGATAGGAAGAGACTGGAAGGGAGATCGAAGGTTCTTTTTAGGGTGCTGGTCATGTTGTTTATTGATCTCAGTGTGACTTTCATAGATATGTTTAATTAATTAATTAAAGTTTTTTCTTGGCTGCACCTGTGCTGCTTGCGGTATCTTGGTTCCCCAACCAGGGATTGAACCCAGGCCCTTGGCAGTGAAAGTGTGGAGTCCTAACCACTGGACCGCCAGGGAATTCCTCATAGATGTCTTTAGTTCGTGAAAATTTATCAACCTCTACTCTTATTTGCACCTTTTAGTATGTATATTCTACTTACTAAGTAAAAAGTAAAAAAAAAAAACCCGAACTCCCACTTTATTGAGTGCCTTCCAGGCCAGGTAGGTACATGGCACTGGGCTAAATGCTTGTGAAGAGCATAAAAAGAACCAGATATTAGTGGTTGCCAGGGGCAAGGGGAGGGAAGCACGGGGAATAACTGCTTGACTGGTATGAGGTTTTATTTTGGGGTGATGAACATGTTTTGGAACTAGATAGACATGGTGGCTGTGAATGTGCTAAATGCCACTGAGTTGCTCATTTTAAAATGGTTAATTTTGGGCTTCCCCAGTGGTGCAGTGGTTAAGAATCTGCCTGCCAAAGCAGGGGACAAGGGTTCGAGCCCTGGTCCGAGAAGATCCCGCAGGCCGCGGAGCAACTAAGCCCATGCGCCACAAGTACTGAGCCTGTGCTCTAGAGCCTACGAGCCACAACTACTGAGCCCGCGTGCCTAGAGCCCGTGCTCCGCAACAAGGGAAGCCACCGCAATGAGAAGCCCGTGCACCACAACGAATAGTAGCCCCCGCTCGCCACAACTAGAGAAAGCCTGCATGCAGCAACGAAGACCCAATGCAGCCAAAAATAATAACTTCATTAAAAAAAAAAGGTTAATTTTATGTTCTGTGAATTTTATCTCAATCAAAAAAGAAAACTGGTTAATCAAATTCAATATGGGTTTTTTCTTAGCTTTGACAAATGTACCATGGTTATATAAGATTAACCTGAGGGCAAATTGGGTGATGGTTATACTCTTTGCTACTTTTCTGTAAATCTAAAATTGTTCAAAAATAAAGTTTAGTTAAAAAAAAAATTAGAAGCAAGGCAGTGGGCCACTGGAATGGAATCCCATCTTTTATAAATTAGTGGTAAGTCACTTCTCTCTGATGAGCCTCAATTTCCCATCTGTGAAAATAGGAGATTTTTTGTAATTTTACATGGGTAAGGATGGTAATCCTCCCACCCTCCAAATCCAAATCAGAATCTCTAGGCATGAAGGGCTGTGGTTAAAAACAGAGGAGAAACATTACCTTGGCCTAGTAAGGAAACTTCAAAATCTGGATACCACTACAGGATTGAGAGAGGTGTGGTTGGGAAAAACTGGCAGATGACCTCAAAGATTCTTCCCAGTCCTTGAATTCTATAGTTTTAAGTTATAGTCCCCACTCGCAGGAAACATGATTTTTCCTAGGTAGTCAAAGTTTGGTAAGAACTAGGGTTGTGTGGAAGAGTTCTTTGGGGGATTCATTCTTGACTGGAGCCTTATGTTGGGGTAGAAGCATGTTACAGAAGGTCAGGTGAGCCCACCTCAAGCAGGCTTTGAATAACAGGTCTAGGTATGGATTTGACTTAACAGAAAGCAGTGAGGGACTGCAACATAGCAATGTTCCAGGAAGATCCACTTGGCAAGCAGTACACAGAGGAAGCTAGGGGAAGCAGAGATGAGGCAGGAAACTGAGCTCAAAGGAAGCCACAGAAGTCCAGATGGGACTTGAGGCCTTGGCTGAGTGGTGCTCATGGGAATTAAGAAACAACATGTTAAAAAAAAAAAAAAAAAAAAAGAAACAACATATTTCTAGGGACTTCCCTAGTCATCCAGTGCTTAAGACTCCACGCTACCACTGAAGGGGGCTCAGGTTCGACTGAGATCCCACATGCCGTGCAGCACAGCCAAAAAAAAAAAAAGAAAACAATATATTTCTAGATATATGCCCCTATGTTCATCGTGGCACAGCATTCTTTACAATAGCCAAGATATGGAAACAACCTAAGTGCCCACCAACGAATGGATAATGAAGATGTGGTGTATATATACAATGGAATACTATTCAGCCATAAAAGAGATGAAATCCTGCCATTTGTGACAACATGAATGGACCTTGAGGTTATTATGCTAAGTGAAATAAGTCCTGTGGAGAAACACAAATACCGTATGATTTCACTCATATGTGGAACATAAAAACTAAAACAAAACCCCAAATAAATGAACAAACCAAACCAAACCTACAGAGAACTGAGCAGCAGTTACCAGAGGGGGAGGGGCAAGGGGGAGGGAAAAATGGGTAAAGGGAATCAACAGTATGGTGATGAATGGAAAATAAAGTTTTGGTGGGTAGCATGTTGTAGAGTATACAGAAGTAGAAACAGAATGTTGTACACATGAAACCTATGTTATGAATCAATATTACGTAAATAAAAAAATAAATTACACTATTAGAAATGAATATATTAATATAGAATGAGCAAACTGGAGTTAAACTTGAACTATTTTGGTAATCCTTAAATAATATTCTTCTGCTCAAAAAGCAATCAAATATTTGGTAACAGTGCCTATGATGTCTAGTAGAAGCCAGAGATTAGTCTTTATCACACAGAGTACAAATGTTATGCTGTGTATGTATCCAGACTTTACATTCTCCTTAGGCTACTATTATGAAAGAAAACAGATTATCTTCGACAAGATTATAAAAATGATTTCTTTCCTATTCTGAAGATGCTCTGTTAATTCAAAGGGAAATGAAAATATGTA